TTAAAATTACCGCGATTGACAAGCACCTTCATTATTTAAACAAATTGTTGCAATTTAATCGAGAATTTTTTACCATTACTCTATATCTCGGGAGAAATGTCCTTTGTTATTAGCGGGGCTTGAGAGGAATGTCCTTTGTTATTAGCAGGACTTACTCCTTTTGCTAAGAGAATTTTTTTCACTTCACATTGTTGAATTTATTTAAATTTTGAATTGATTTCTTAACTTAATATTGTTTAAATTTAATATATAATAATTAAGTATATAAGTTTTTGAAATAACTACTTTTGATCCTATACTTTTTGGAGACCAAAATATCAATTTAATTTCAGTTTAAGACTAAAAAAATCATAAAACTTCGACCGAAGGTTCTTAAATAATAAAATGCATCATAAAACCACAAATTATTTTGATGTTAAATTTTGAAACTAAGTTCAGTAAATGAGATATTCATTCGCGAATGCAATAATACATTTATGCACAGTTATTTGTTTCATTTTAATTAATGAATAAGCATGTTTCAGTGGTATCATATTATTTTGCATTCCATTATCAGAACAGAGGAAACAGGGCAATATTGTTTTTATCAGGACAAAATAAATGATCAAGATTGCTAGCCTTGCTGAAACCCTCAAACCCGTGTCGTATTACAGTGATTACTATTTTAGCAGTCAAGCTTTATATATGGTATATGACTTCCATTACTCTTAAAGTGAAGAATTTTGGATCGATCCAATTAAGGCCAAGTATGTTTCACAATCACGTGTCCTGGCAACTCAACCTGTATAAATGTATTTGGAGCAGATATATTTTCAGTCCCAGCTAAGAAAAATATTGACTATGATTGGATTTTTGAGATAAAAATAGTAAAGGAAGAGCTAAAAAAGTTTAGCAAGTAACTTAAAAATTTCACGAATTTTTTTTTTTGGGCCAAAGAGAAACACTATATTTCACAAAGTTTTAGCCCCAATTGTTATTTCCGACTTTAGCTAATAGCAACATATACAATTTAACGAGGACATTTGAGAGATACAAACATAATTCCACTGAACAAATCTCACCATCACTTCTTTTCTAGCAAAGCATAATGCAGTCATGTTCAATTGTTATTTTATTATGAATTAATACGTCATAATATAATTCAGAAAGAAGTAGCAACGGTTGAATTTCCTTAAAATAAAAATTGTACCAAATCTATTTTCCGAAGAGTAAATATACTTGTTTATTGTACTGTGATAAATAACACCCATTTCAGAATTTCTATCTTTGATCAGACCTACCTTCAGAAGGGTTCAGAGAAGACAATTCTTTATAACCGAAAATAGTGTATAACTAATTTTCTTTTCCCTCCCCGTACTTCGCAAATATAAGATGTTGCCTTTCGGTAAAGGTGTAATCTTTATTCCCGACTCAGTCCCATGAGAGAAATTCAGAGATAGAACGCAAAAACATTTAACAGAACCAGAAACCTCCAACGTCAGACTATCTTGTTCCGTGTTCAATTTCTCTGCATGACGAGATGACACTACTGTTACTATCCATTCGTCTTCTTCGTTCTTAACCTTAATCATGGAGATCTGGTTTATCGTCCTCGTCTCTCTCTGTCTCTGTCTTATCATCCGAGCCCTCTTCAATCTTTCTTCTCCCTCTCGCGCCATCCCTCTACCGCCTGGTCCTCCTCGTATTCCCATCATTAGTGGCATTCTTTTTCTGCGCAAATCGTTCTTAGAAATTGAATCCTTACTCCGACAACTTAGTGCCAAATACGGTCCCATGTTTCACTCCTCGTATTATGTCTCGTCAGCTAATATTTGTAGCAGATGGATTTATTGCCCACCAGGCCCTGGTTCAAAACGGCGCTGTGTAAGATTTTTACCTGCGATCAACATGACATTGGCTCAAGGCTGTGATTTTGGGGGGACTAAGGCGTCATCCACCCTACACATTTTCTACGCATTTTCAATCAGAGATGTGATCGGTGATAGAGAGGAGAAGGAAGTGAAAGAAAAGGATCTGAACAAATTGCCATATCTCTAGGCTGTGATTTTGGCGGGACTTTGGTTTCATCCACCTACACATTTTCTTCTGCCACATGTTGTGAAAGAAGATGTGGCATTGAATGGTTTCTTGATACCTAAAAACGGAATTTTGAATTTCTTGGTGGCAGAGATGGGATGGGACCCAAATGTGTGGGAGAATCCAGTCGAATTCAAGCCAGAGAGATTCTTGAACGCAGAGAAGAAGGGAGATGAAGGGTTTGATATTACAGGTAGCAAAGAGATAAAGATGATGCCATTTGGAGCAGGGTGAAGAATGTTTCCAGGTTATCACCTGGCAATGTTTCATTTGGAGTACTTTGTAGCCAATCTGGTTTGGAATTTTGAGTGGAATGTTTCCGATGATGGAGACGTTGGTTTATCCGAGAATCTAGTGTTCACTGTGATGATGAAGATCCCATTACAAGTTCATATATCACCAAGAGTCTAATTAATGTCAAAGTCTTAGCCATAATACCTAAATATAAGTAGACAATGGTTCTTGGCCTTCATGCCTATGTTTGAATTTTGTACTTTCATTAATTGTGCATTTTTTTCTCACTCAGGACGGTTCGTTTTCTTACTCAAATTGTAAAATCTTTTGACTCTAAATTAAAATTAAATTGAACTTTTTGGTTTTAGACTATCATTTCATTTCCCTTGAACTTTAATCACATTATTTTTTTCGGTCACAACTTTAATCACATTATTTATATTAATTCCAATAAAATAACACGACGTACTTTTGTTCCCACCACATCTTTACTTTAATTATTTTTCCATTTACTTGTCAATTGTGTGATCCTATTCTACAAGTACCCCTTGACTATACTTGGGATTTGGTTTATATTATTATTGTTGGTTGAATTTGAATTTGGTGAGTTCTAGATGTTCTATCCTTTATTAACAAGCCACCTTCAGAAAAATTAAGAGAAGACACATTTTAATGATTAAAAATACTGAAAAATTTTATTTTTAACCAACAGTGCAACAAAGGAAAATCATTCAAGGCCCTACGTAGAAATAAAATTACACTCGGGGATGCTGAATTTAAAAAATTAGGGTATATAACAACCGGTTTTTTAGTTGAAATTGAGTTGTGTAAAAGTTTGGTTATCTTATCTAACTTAATCCGATTCGAACAAGTTCAATTCAGCCTGGTCCAATAGAAAAATTAGTCTAAAGGACTAAAGAAACCAAAAAGATCAAAATAACTTCTCAAGTTGGACTAAATAGAAAACCAAGCTCTCAAACCATTTAGTCTTGTCCAATCCTATAAAACTATTTTAATATAATTTTAATTATTTTTAATATATTTGAATAGTTTGAATGCGGTATTTCCTTCATTCACATTTCGCCCTTCTATTTAATAAAATTTTAATTTAACTTGCTATTAAATTATTGTTGTAATGTATGTTAGATATGTTGCCGAAGTTTATTAAATGTTGTTGTTGCTGTTCCTGAAGTTTTTAATTTGAATTATTTGGATTATAATTAAAATATTTTTATTCGTTTTTGTTAGAGACTGTTATGAATTTTTTATGATTATAAGTATTTTATTATCTTAATTGAGTTTATTAAGATGAAATGAATTGTTACCTCTCATATAACGAAAAAAAAAGCTAAGTGAATACTGAACTATAAGGATCAATATTCTAGTCTTATAAATCAAGTCTGATTTTATTAATTTTTGGGTTACAATATAATTAAACTAGACCGAATTACGGGTTGGCTAACCCAGTTCTTTTTATAAAAAGAATAGATTTAGAGTTAGGTTAAAATTCAATTTTATCAAGTCCTTTTTAAAACTTTTTTGTTGGAATGAAAATGCCCCTAAAGAAAATAAAACAATACAGAATGTAGATACTATAATGGTAAATTATGAATGCTTAGTTGTAAATTATAAACAATATATTTGAAATTATGAAAATAATAAATCCTCAGTAATCTAAATTTGATATACTTGATATATTTGCATTTGTAGATTATGAAAATTTAGTAGTAAATTAGGTGCAATTTTATTTATGAATTACAGAAGCTCAATAAAAAAATCATTTGGAGCCTACATTTGTCATATGTTGGATTTAAAATTACACTGAAAATTTGAGAATTTAGTTGTAAATTATGTGTGATTCACTTGTAATTAAATTATAAAAGAAAACTTAGTAGTAAATCATATGAAAGTTGATAGTAAAATATGGAAGCAAAATATATACAAACACAAATACAGAACATAAAAAAAGGTAAACCAAACTAAAGCAAGAATTAGGAAGGGCCTTTTGAATTTCAGTTGAGACAATTAATTATAAAAAATTAATATGAAAAAAAGTAAATATTGTGTTTTGGTGTATTTTGCCAAAATCATGGTTTTGGTTCAAAAAATTGATTAATAATGCGTATCTAAACAAGCACAAAAACTAACATAGCAATACAATTCGGTACCCAAACTTCAAAAAAAAAAAAAAAAAAAAAACAACAAAGACCAGACATTGTAAGCCAACAACCTGCAAATTAGATTTGGGAATTAAATTTGTCATCTCTAATTTACAAGTAAATTTTCTATAATTTACGACTAATTAAGTTCTTGTAATTCAAGGCCATGTATCGTTTTCCGTCATGCTTGACAAAAAATGTTGTCTCTCGAGTGTAATCTGATTATCTCTCAAACTAGGGGCTCGCGGACGAGAATATGTATTTAGAGAGGCCCTTAACTGCCATTTTCTCCCTCGTAACGGTCCACCCTTTTACCATGAGGGAAAATTCCGCGAAGGAACACCATATATATATATATATATATATATATATATATAAATCGAAGAATCTTGGAGGCCACGAAAAGTTCAAACTTGTGCTGTCCTGTTCCCATTGTTCTGTCATCTGTGTTCAAATTCTCTGGATCATCCCTTTAAATTCTCGTCATCTCACTGAACTTTTCTCACTCATGTTCATCACTAATCACTATAACTACGCATTTATCCTCTTCTTCATTCTTAATAACCATAATCATGGAAGTTTGGTTCATCGTCCTCGTCTCTCTCTGTCTCTGCATAACAATCCGATCCTTCTGCAATATTCTTTCTTTTTCTCGCTCCACTCCTCTACCACCTGGGCCTCCTCGTATCCCCATCATTACCAATCTTCTTTTTCTGCGCAGGTCCATCTTAGAAATTGAATCTGTACTCCGAGATCTTCGTTCCAAATACGGTCCCATCTTCACTCTTCCTGTTGCGTCTCGTCCACTTATATATGTAGCTGACCAGTCTATTGCCCACCAAGCCCTTGTTCAGAACGGCGCTGTTTTCTCCGACCGTCCTGAGGCAGTTTTTGCCAGTAAGGTCTTCAGTTGCGACCAGCATGACATTAACTCTGCCTTCTACGGCCCCACATGGCGGGCTCTCCGCCGCAACCTCACCTCCGAAATGCTACACCCGACCCGGATTAAATCCTTCTCCGGTTCCCGTAAATGGGTTGTGGACACTCTTATCAATCGGCTCAAATCTGATTCTGAATCAGGCAATCCTATCAAGTTGATAGACCATCTTCAATATGCTATGTTCTGCTTGTTGGCGTTCATGTGCTTCGGCCAGAAGTTAGACGAGAAGCAAATGAAAGATATCGAGGATGTTCAACGACGCGTGATTATGAGCTTTAACAGATTCAGGGTGCTGGATTTCTGGCCGAGAATCACCCGTATATTGTTCCACAAACTGCGACAGGAAATGTTCCAGAATAAGAAGGAACGGGAAAGTCTTTTCATCCCACTGATCAGAGCGCGGAAGAAAGCCATGGAAGAGAGATTGAACAGAGCTAATGAGGACAATCGTAGCTCAGGTAAACTTGCCATGCCTTACGTTGATTCTTTGCTGGAACTGGAGTGGCCTTTGGAGAAGCGTAGGCTTGAAGAATCTGAAATCGTATCCATATGTTCAGAGTTTCTAAGTGCAGGGATAGATACAACAGCTACGACACTGCATTGGATTATGGCAAATCTGGTGAAGTATCCACATATTCAAGAGAGGCTTGTGGAGGAAATTAGAGATGTGATTGGTGACAGTGAGGAGAAGCAAGTGAGAGAGGATGATCTGAACAAATTGTCATTTCTCAAGGCAGTGATTTTGGAGGGACTAAGGCGTCACCCACCTACGCATTTTGTGATACCACATGCAGTAACAGAGGATGTAGTGTTGAATGGTTTCTTGATACCTAAGAGTGGAACTATAAACTTCTTGGTGGCAGAGATGGGAAGGGACCCAAAGGTGTGGGAGAATCCAATGGAATTCAAGCCAGAGAGATTCTTGAACGGCAAGAATAATTATGAAGCGTTTGATATTACAGGAAGCAAAGAGATAAAGATGATGCCGTTTGGAGCAGGAAGAAGAATTTGCCCAGCTTATAATCTGGCAACGTTTCATTTGGAGTACTTTGTAGCCAATCTGGTTTGGAATTTTGAGTGGAAGGTTTCAGATGATGGTGATGTTGATTTATCTGAGAAACAAGAGTTCACTGTGGTAATGAAGAACCCATTGCAAGTTCATGCATCTCCAAGGTTTTAAACCTGGACAAGGAATATTAATTCACGAGAAACTTGGCCCCACAGCTGGGGAAGATACTTGGGGCATTTTACTTATCAAGGGCTTTTTTAGTGGTTACTATAAAATAAATTTATACAGTTCGGTATCTAGCTACCATAAAATTGATGAGAATTAAGATGGTTGTTTCTAGCTTCTTGCTTAGGCTTAAATAAAATCTTGTCAACTTGGTGGCACCCCGTGATACACTGAACTATAATATTATTCGCTGTTTGTAATTTTCTGATGACTTGTTTTAGTCGCAGATAATATGCCTTTCAAACAATTAATGCTAGCAAATGTGGCAACAGCCTCTAATCAACAAAAAACCTTACTCCCTTTTCTTAAATTTTAAGTTAAAATTTAAAATCATTTTTTAAAACATGTTGACAAATTTATTCTAATTTTTGTTCGGTATTACTAGATATGAGATCCATAAACTTATTCGATAAAAGAATATTTATCTTAATTTTTTATTAAAAAGAAAGCAAATAAAATAAAAATTTAATAAATTAAAAATATTTACATGCTTTGACCCAACTGACAACGACATTCGCCGCCATAACTTCCTTTGAAATGGAGATAGTCCGATACCAATACCATAACACAGAATTCATTATCCTTTTAACAAACGAAGCATCTCAGATTTGAATGAAAAAGAATTCAGAGAAAGAAAGACACCAATATTTCAGATCATTAGCCGGTAGTGTGCCAAAGTTGTCTGGAAATCATCGAGCTTCAAATCCACCACCTTGTTCCAGGTCCTCTATTTTCCCTCATTTTCACAAGCTTCTCTCACTTCTCGATTATGAGTTTTGGCTCATCCTCATTATCTCTCTATCTCTGCCTTCTCATCAGACTTTTCCTCACTTTTCTCTTCCCCTCTAATTACTCCCCTCCTCGTCTTCCCATCATCGGTTCTTCTCTTTCTGCGCAAACCATTCTCAGAACTTGAACCCATTTTTCAAAATTTTCATGCCACATATGGTTCCATCGTCACTTTCCCAGTTGGTTCTCGTTCTGCTATATTCATAGCTGATCGATCTCTCGCCCACCAAGCTCTCATTTAAAACGGTGCCGTCTTCTCTGACCGCCCCAAGTCCTGGCCACCAGCAAGATCTTCAATAGTAACCAGCATAACATCAGCTCTGGTTTCTACGGCCCCACATGGCACCTACTCCGTGGCAACCTCTCTCACAAGCTTTTAATCTGACCCGAATCAAATCCTTCTCGAGTACTCGTAGCTGGGTTTTGAACACACTTCTGAATCGCCTCAAATCTGACTTAGAATTATCAAGCAAATCCGTCACGGTCATTGACCATCTTCGACGTGCTATGATCTGTTTGCAGGTGTCCATGTGCATCGGTGAAGGATTAGATGACAAGCATCTTATGGAGATAGAACATGTTCAACATCGTTTAACGTTGAAATTGCACGAGCTCAATAAGCTTAATTTCTGGCCGAGTCTCACTCGTACTTTTTTTCGCAAGCGTTGAGAAGAACTACATCGAATTCGAAAGGAACAGGAGGATGTGTTGATTCCACTAAAAAGAGCGAGAAAGATAGCAAAGAAGAAAAGTTGAACAAAGCCAAGGAGTACAACAACAACAACAACAACAACAAGCCTTTATCCCACTAGGTGGGGTCGGCTACATGGATTGCAAGACGCTCTATCATTTATTAAGCTTTTAGAAATATTATTAATTAAGAGATCACGTTTAACAACTTCCAAGAGTGTTCTCTTAGGCCTTCCTCTACCTCTCTTAATCGGACTCAAAGTTATATGTTCCACTCTTCTCACTGGTGCCTCCCTTGGTCTTCTTTGTACATGCCCAAACCATCTCAACCGATTTTCTATCATTTTTTCCTCAATAGGTGCCACCCTCACTTTTTCATGTATGTGCTCATTTTGAATTTTATCTTTACGTGTATGTCCGCATATCCATCGTAACATTCTCATCTCTGCTATTCCAACTTTATGCTCTTGCTGTCCCGTTAAAGCCCAGCATTCACTACTATATAACATTGCTGGTCTGATAGCAGTACGATAAAACTTTTCTTTAAGTTTATTAAGCACCTTACGGTCACAAATAACTTCTTTAGCTTTTCTCCAATTAAACCACCCAGCTTGAATTCTATGTGAAATATCTCCACTGATTTCGCCATCATTTTGAATAATGGCTCCCAAATATTTAAACTTTTCCACTTGAGGTATAATTTGATCTCCCAATTTCACTTCCAAATTATTTTCGAATAGTCCTTTACCAAATTTACAATATAAATATTCCGTCTTACTTCTACTCAGACGAAAACCTTTCGACTCCAATGTCCTCCTCCATAACTCAAGTTTGCAATTAACCTCTTCTCTTGTCTTTGCTATAAGAACTATATCATCCGCAAAGAGCATACATTTCGGGATTTCCTCTTGAATATGTTCCGTCAAAACATTTAAAATCAAGTTGAACAAATAAGGACTCAGAGATGATCCCTGATGTAGTCCAATCTTTATAGGAAAATCCTTTGTTTGACCACTAGGCGTTCTTATACTAGTTTTTACCCCCTCATACATATCTTGTATGGCTTTAATATAAGCAATCCGTACTCCCTTTTTTTCTAACGCTTTTCAAAGCACTTCTCTTGGTATACGGTCATAAGCTTTTTCCAAATCAATAAAAACCATGTGTAGATCTTTATCTTTACAATGATACTTTTCCATTAATCCCCTTAGTAGATAAATCGCCTCTGTAGTTGATCTACCTGGCATAAAACCAAATTGATTCTTAGAAATACTTGTCTCCAATCTCAACCTGTGCTCAATTACTTTCTCCCACAATTTCATTGTGTGGCTCATGAGTTTAATCCCTCTATAGTTAGTACAATTCTGAATATCTCCTTTATTTTTATAAATAGGAATTAATGTACTTCTCCTCCACTCATCAGGCATTTTCTTGGACTGTAAAATCACATTAAATAACTTAGTTAACCATCTCACCCCTTCTTCACCTAAACATTTCCACGCTTCGATAGATATACAATCAGGTCCGTTAGCTTTATCATTTGCCATTTTCTTAAGAGCTTCCTTTACCTCCTTATCACGTATTTTTCGATAGAATGACAAATTTTGTTCTCCTTCACCAGTTACTAAATCCTCCAAGTTACTAGATGAATTCTCTCCATCATTGAAAAGTTTAGAAAAATAAGTCTCCCATCTATTTTTAATTTCATCATCTGTAACTAAAATTCTTCCCTCTTCATCCTTAATACACCTTACCTGTTCTAGATCTCTTGATTTTCTTTCCCTACTCTTGGCAATCTTATAAATATTTTGCTCTCCTTCCTTCGTCTCAAGGTTCTTATAAAATTCTTCAAAAGCTTTGGAACGAGTTTCACCCACAGCTCTCTTAGTTTCCTTCAAAAGCCAAGGAGGACAATGACAAAAAAGATGAATATATAGTTTCATAGGTGGATAAACGATTTGCAAATGCCAGAGGAGAAACGAAAGCTTAATGAAGATGAACTCGTTTCAATATGTTCTGAAATATTGATTGCAGGAAGTGATACAACAGCAACAGCATCACAATGGATCTTGGCAAATTTTGTGAAGTACCCAAAATCCAGCAAAAGCTTGCGGAGGAGATAAGAGATGTGGTGGGTGAAAGAGATGAAACAAAAGTTAAAGAGGATGATTTGATCAATTTGCCATATCTGAAAGCTGTAGTTTTGGAGGGACTAAGGCGTCATTCACCTGGACATTTTGTGTTGCCACATGCAGTATCAGAGGAAGCGGTTTTCAATGATTATCTGGTGCCTAAGAATGGGACTATAAACTTCATGGTGGCGATTGGGTTGATTACAGAGGTATGGGAAGATCCAATGGAGTTCAATCTAGAGAGGTATGATTCTTGAGGCGTGAGAAAAATGGAGGCGAAGCATTTGATATTACAGGAAGGAAAGAGATTAAAATGATGCCATTTGGGGTAGGGAGAAGAATGTGTCCAGGATATAATTTGGCAATGCTTCATCTGGAGTACTTTGTCTTCGTGGTGAATCTGGTTTGGAATTTTAAGTAGAAGGCTGCAACTGATAATGTTGATTTGTCTGAGAAACAAGAATTTGTCGTGGTTATGAAGAATCCATTACAGGTCTATTTATCTCCAAGGTTTTTGACCCATAATGCCAGGAACAATGAATCTTTGCGGGAATCTGCTCTTGTAATCATGCATGGCAAGCTATTTAACACTGCTATAAAAAAAATTAAATAAAAACAGTTTATATAATGCCATTTATTAAATGAGTAGATGTAAAAACATTTTATAAACACAAGCAAGAATTTAAAAAATTATTATTAAACGGTTATACAAAAAACCATTTTATAATAAAATAAATACATAACCGTTTAATATTTGTCTTATTTTCACGAGCTCTGACCCCAACGGAATATCAAACGGTTTTGGGTAGGGAACCATTTAGTATTTTACCAAATGGTTTCATTTGCAGAACCATTTTAACAGTTCTGTTAAAGGAATCCCTTAGTATTTGATTTTAAAAAACCTCTTGGCTCCCTCTCCTAACCCAAATCTAAAACATTCAGCTCAAAAAAAAAAAAAAAAACCAAAGACTCACCTTGCTTGAAACTCCCAAACCCACTATTTTCAGCCATTCCTTGCCTTCCTCCGCCAAAAAAGGGTCATGGGTCAGTCACTGTTGTGGTCACCATTTGCGTTGGTGGTGGTTCTCTCATTGCGACTCGTCTTGCGTGTGTTTTGACAGTGGGTTTTAGTTGTTTCTTCAGTGTCGTTTACTCGTTGGTGTGCTCCCCTCTCTTTCTCCATTGGCTGTCATTCCACTACTGTTTCGTTTCTATCCCATTTCTTCCTCATTTTTGGCTGTGTTTTGCTTGTCGACAATTATATATAAAAGATTATGAGAATTTTATTTCAATTTAGATTAATGAGTGACTGAATGTAGATGAAATGGTTACTCTGTAGCCTTTCTATTACTATGAAATTGTTGTGGCATTTTTGTTCCAAGCATTCTGAGATATTTGTTCTTAAATTGTTAATTGTGTTTAAATTTAATTCGATTGGAATTGCTCTATGTAAATTG